TTTACTTTTCTCTATTTTCAGTCAATAGACAACTGCCATCTTACATTGTACGACATTTTCAATTTATTGTGATTTATTGTATATAAATGATAGTTGTGTGGATTTGAGCATCATGATAACCCAAATGATTTGCAAAGGCAATTAAATGTACTTTCTTTTCACAGAAAAGCTTTTAAATTCATGAATTGTTGGATGGAATAAGATTTGGCTATTTTCAGACATTATGCTGCTTAGGGTGCTTGCTTTGGTCATAAAATATGACATGTCATTGTGGTTTGTGAAACTACAGGTTTGTACCTGTCCTGTTTGGTTCCTATACCCAACTAGACAGTTTGTACCAGTCTGGTTTCGTATAGCAACCAATCAGGTTAGGTACAGATTCCAATGGATAATTAAGAATGCAAAGAACTGCAACCAGCCTGCCTTTTATAGAAGACCTTATATTGCACAGGTCAGGAAGCCTGAGAAGGTATTTGCAGACCCTTCATATCCTGCACATAAACTCTTTCAGTTTCTCCCCTCAGGATGCCGCTACAGAGCACTGCAGACAAAAACAACTAGACACAGGGATAGCTTTTTTCTTTGGGCCATCACTCTGCTAAACACCTAATTTTCACAGTCATCTCTACTGGAAATTTATCACATAGTATGGCTATGTATTATCACATAGTGTTACTATTTATCCTTATTATATTCTTTACTTCCCCTTATTTGTATTATTATTAGAATTATCATTATTCTGTTGTCTTGCATGTACAGTGAGAATTTCTGCACCAGAGACAAATTCCTTGTGTCTATAATTACACTTGGCCAAATGAAGTATTCAATTCAATTCACATATGGCTTATGAGTGAGAAAACCCATTCAGGCTAATTTTAGTGAAGACTGGAAATATATGAGATTTGAGACTAGCTTTAATTCCATTGTGTTAATGTGTCCAGTCACTCTTAAATTTGAGAAAGCCCAGATGCAATTGTGTCTTGAAATAATTTATAAATTTACCTTTTATGACAGTATCCAAAACTTTCAATTAATTTTTAACCTAGACATAGAAGTCAGACTTGAAAAATCTAAACATTGTACCTACCTCTACATGGCATATTCTACAACTGTTTGTTCTAGTGTGATAAAAATATTTCTCAGTAACAACTTTTGCATCTATGTGTGTGTAATATACAACAAAATACACATACTTGCTACTTCCTCCACTATTGTCTGTTTGCCTGACTTCTGAGTTACGACAGTGGGATAAGTTACTGTGAGCTTGCTGTTATGTTCTTTGCGAACAAGTGATCTTCCTGCTCTTGAAGATGGAAGGGGGGGAAAAAACAGAAGCATTAACCCAACATGAGGACAAATCCTAATGGTTTACAAATTTGGGATGAAAGGAATAAAAATGCCCAGAAAAAGAAAAAAAGCTTACTTGCAGTTTGGACATTTCTTTGAAGTCATTTGTAATTTCCAAAATTGAGAGATAAGTTTACTTCTACATTCACACACATTTTTTACCTATACCAAGAATGAAAAGCAAAGTTCTAGAAATTATTCTGTAAATGAAACACAAATTTAAATACAGTTGATTATGAGCATTAACAAGAACAAACTTAATTTAAAATTTCACTCTGTATTGAGTTAAGAAACCTCCAATGTCACCAAAAGCATTTGTTATATTTATCCATGATTACATAAAAGAGAACGGCACACCTTCATCACTTATTTTCTATTCAGGGTTGAAGCATTCACAAAGCTTTCCATTTAAGTCTCACGTAGGATTTATCCCGGGGTGGGATGGTACCGGTTCTGCCCGGCTCTATAGAACCGGGAGTTCTGAAGAACGGTAGACATTGAACCGGTTCTGTGTTTGCTGCTCTTTGGCCCACCCGCCCGGGCTCTTACCTGTCCTTTATTTCCTGCTTTTTCAATCTCAGCTGCTTTGCGCAGCACAGATGAGGTTGAAAAAGCAGGAAAAAAGTGGCTTTTGAAACACTGCGCACCAGCGCTTTTCAGATGTCTGGGCAGCACAGCTTAATGTTTTTTACATGCATGCACAGCATAGTCACCGAACAGGTAGTAACACCGGTTGAATCCCACCCCTGGATTTAACTTCTATAAATTATTTAAAGCCAGGAAAATCCTGAATTCATTCTTCATATTAGCTAGGACTTCTAGTCTAAATACTACCTAGCAAACCAACATATGCCACCTACGTCCACTAACTAGGCAGTGACCCTTCCAAATGTTAAAGAGATAATAGGAAGAAAGAATTCAGGATTTTCCTGCCTGCAGACAGAAAGTCCTATTTTCTTTTCTGAGCAGCCTACAATTATATTGCATTACTTTTGGAACAGATGAAATTAGGAAATAACAGTTTGGCCTTAAACTATGAAAGAAAAATGTCATGTTAAGTCAGAATAAACAACATGTCCATAAAGAACCACTGATTCACAATTTAATGGGAAATGAGAGGAAGCTGTTCATTAAAAGCAATGTAAATAATTACATTAAACATTGATTCTTCTTACTTACATGTGCACTGTAACCTCTAAGCTGATTATTTTGGAGCATATCCTTTGTGTAGCAACTTAATACTTCTTCCATTTCAGCACCAATTGCATCTGAGCTTTCATCTAAAAACTGAGAGAATTATGACATTACAAATATATGAAATACTGTCAAAACAGATTAAGCAAAATAAAACTTACCCTACTCAGGATTGTTTCAAGATCATGGACCTCTTGAATCAATCCTATTTCTAGTAGCTTTAGCTGATTTAGTAATAAATGAATTGCAGCTCGTGGACATGTTAAATGGGAACAATTCAAACAGGAGCCTCGCATCAGAAGGAATAATTTCTGAAAATAAGAACACTTGCTTTATTATCCTACTAATTCACATATGTTTAATACTATGTCAATGTTATTTTGTTATATTACAACAGAGTGGAAAGGTTATTATATATTATTAATTATGAATACTTCCATTTTCAAATTCTGAATGCAATGATTAATTCACTGCTATCCATCTCCAACTTAACTATGGCTTAATATACTTACATCAAAAAAGAGAGGATTATAAACAGTGAGAGGTAGTTCTATGTGACCTAAATGACCAGGACAGTTGTTGAAATCTTGCAGACAAGTAACACAAATTTCCTTGTTGTCAAGTGGTCCCAAAGCCAAATCATATAGTCCATTTGGGGATGGAGTACCCGCATTATCAAGAAAAAGAGGATTGGTTATAGATTTTACACTCAATTTCCTAAAAGTAAAAGCAAAGAGGGGGGGAAAAACAAAGAAAGTGCCATGGAAATCTTAAAATTAATAATTACATTTCGCAATACAACATGTATTAATTTCTTAGAAGTTTTACAGCTTTCATAAACTCAGAAAATATTCATTCAGAACAGCAATTATCTGCTCTTTTTTAACTATTTAAAAAAAGGAAGTATTATATTTTGCAAACTGTTACATTACAGAATTTTTACAGGCAATTTGTTGCATAGAACTATCCTATACTATATATGACTATTAACTCAAAGCATATACTAAGGAAAAATGTTATGTTTTGATGCACAGAAAACCAAGTCAAATTCAACAGACTCAAAACAGCTTAACTGGATTGCTAGATAGTATACATTTTAATATTTTTGACACATTTTCATCAGAATTGCTTAATATTATCTGAAAACTGACTTTGTCTGTTCACACTTTTGAAGACACAGAAACCTCTTCCTAACTACGATGCCATCTGAGTACTGTACTATGTATCAGTCTGAAACCAAATTGAAAATAGCTTAGAATAAATTATCCATATCTTCCAGGATTATAACCCGATCACCTTCTCAACAACTTTCACTGGAATGGAAAGGTTTGAGATTAGATCCAGAACATTTGGGCCTAGTGAAGGTTTCTTGAGGATGGGTATATTACCACTTCTTCAAAGAAGAACGGGCATATACTACCACATGGACGAAAATGCATGTCTCCTTCCAGATGGCTTTTATCACCCAGGCAGACATAGGTCTAAAACAGAGGTGTCCAAATTCCTCAGTGTAATCCTATTTTTACCAAGAAAATCACATGGATAATGGTAAAACAATTCATAAGATTGTGCTGCATTATGGACCTGTTGGATCATCTGGGGCTCAACATGCTATTGAGGAAGAGTTGAAAATCTTTTGGAATACTAATGGTATTTAGGTTATGATTAGATCAAAAACTAAAGGATATCTAGTTGCTGATGTCCCATGCAAGAAAACCTAATGTTGTAAAAACAAAATTACAGTAGGAATGTAATGTAAGAAGCATGGACATGCAAAAGTTGAACACAGTTTAAAATAAACTATGGACTGGAATTTAGCACTTTCAATCAAAAGATGATGGTTTATTACAGTACTTAGGACATGAAAAAGAAAGGAGCAACAGCGCTGATTTCATAAAAAGGATAAAACAAGGGAAGTATTTGGTGCAATTAAGTCAATGACCGAATATCAATTAAAGTTTGCAATTTAGTATAATAATTATCCAGGTTTATGTTCCAACCACTGGTGCAGAAGACTGATACGCTTTACTATGATCAAACTAAAAACGTCATGAACTGTCCTCGGCCGAAATTCTAAGACTAAAACGCGAAATCTTCGACATAAAACACTGAGAATCGTCAGAAAAGCATTTTGACATTAGGCTGACAGATAGGACACGCAGTCACATTAACTAAATCCCTCAATGTGGGCGGGTGCCCGGGGAAACTAACTTCTGACCGCTGCCTCAAGCGGTCTGTTCTTCCTGCCGCCCGAATTTACCTTATCTCTGCGTCCGTATACATCCCAAACGACAACCCGGTCAGGCGCCTCCACGGCGCCTCCTTTGCAGCCATGACTCCGACCGACCAGATCACGGGCAACGCAGCCCAGATAATCGCCAAACAAGCCCGGGGAACCGTCGCGTGCTCGCAGCATGCGCTCTGCGGCGTTGCGGGTCACAGCTTCCGCTTCCGGTCCCTTCCACATTTTCAGCACCAGGCGGCCAATTCCGTTATGGCGGCTTGGAGGTTGCGGCGGTGTCCGTTTCCCGCCCGAGACTTGTTGCAGAGAAGGCTCGTCGTTTCGGGAGTATCTGGCTCTTTTAGGGAAGGGGGCGACAGGTACGTTGGATCGGATCGACGCGAAACCGGGAGTCCCGTTAATGACTTGGAAAGGTGAGGCGCTGAAATATACGAGGTTGCAGCTGTAATTTAATGAATAGGATTGCATCCGTTTCGTCGTCTCGGGTTGCCTGTACTCGAGGCTGGATGGCAAATCGTTCTTAATATTGGTATTTCATCGTAATTATAATTATATTTTATATTCCCTGCTCTATTAGTTTAAAAGCAAGTAATCTGAAGCTTTCTAGGCGTTTTGAACGATAACGTCTCATGAGCTACGACGCAAGCCACGAGGAGAGAGTCAGAAAGTTCTAACCTAAGATTTATTTAAGTTTGCTCTAAAGCAAACGTGTTTTTCCTCTGGGCACACTAAAGTTGTTTTTTTTCAAATTACGGTGCAAAATACAAAAATGGCACGCAGTAGATAAATATTAATATTAAATACAATTATTACTGCCTATATATTCAATAAATTTCCCCTCTTTAAAATGTTAACAAGAAGAGTTCTTAAAAATTATTCAGTGGTTGTGCATAAATCCTTATAACGTTTTATTTATTCAGTTTCTATATCCTGTCATGGAATTCTGCTGCCTCTTGTAAATAATTATGCCTGAATGTTAGGAAGTGCTTCCCCACAATTAGAACAACTTATTCAGAAAAATAATGAATCCCACAGCTCAATGTATTCAAGCATAGAATAAACAACTTTATATTTGAGGTGTTTTATTCTTGATTATTGCACTTAACAAAAGATTAAATAATTTTACTTAAAGCACACTTTCTAATATTGGTCTGTCAGTGAGAATAGTTAATACATATGCCACCTTAGAAAGATCTTTCTCTGTTTCCTGATTTTCTAATAATAAACGATTGTCTAATCAATGATTCGAGGATATTAAATAAAGCCATAACTAGAAGTGCTTGGATAAAATTGTAAAGACCTATCTCAAAAAAGCCAAAAATTTGCTTATTTTCTATTTGAGATAGTTTTTCAGAAATAGATTGGATTCATATATCACAGCTATAAGATGCTTTAACTTTAACTTAAGATGTTGCACGGACTTAGTATCTTTATTTCAACAATTAATGTATTGTTTAACTTTAGTCAGTAAATCATGGCCAATGAACCATGGCTAAACATTGTAATAAGATCTACCTCACAACATTATTGGTGTAGGAAAAATAGGAAGTATAATAAATAAGCAAGGGTGTCAAACTCTTATTTCATTGAGGGCTGCATCAGGGTTGTATTTGACCTTGGAGGGCTTGGTGGGCATGGTGGGGGTGGACGTGACCACCTCAGCATCACTTCTGCAGCACTTTGCCAGCAAAAAAAGGAGCAGCGTGTGCTGCTCCCCAGGGCTCTGTTTTCGGCTGCGGCCCTCTGCCAGCATAAATGGAGATGGGGACTCCCGAGCTCTGTTTTTGCTGGCAAAGGAGGGGGGGGGGGGCTTCGCTGTTCCCAAGGCAGCCCCAGGGGCTAAATCTAAGTGCCTCAAATCTAAGTGCCTTGGCCTGCAGGCCTTGAATTGACATCCCTGTATCCCAGAATATTATATATTCAATAGGATTCTTTTAAATTATGTATTAGATAGATAGATAAATAGAGTGTGTATGCATGTACATTTATCCATATTATTTTTCTTAGGCACCGTTCAGAAAATGCAACCCTTCTGGAAAAATCCCCCATCGTGAAAGGTATAATATTTTGTTGTGTTCACACATGTACTATTAAAACACATATTTGCAAATGATAAATTTATCATTTCAATTAATATATGTCACATAGTCTATATTTGTAAATAAACTTGAAGACTTTGGACTTGTTTCTGAATAAATTGATTTTAGATAGGACAATTACTTTATCTGGCAAAATTTGCTTCCAATAGAGACAACACTTACTTAAAATTGTTGTTTTAAAATAGTCAAGTTGAATGACTAATGTAATTCTATTCAGAATTAAAATTTTAATAGTTAAACATTTTTCAGATGAATAATAACTTAATAAGTTAGTTATACTTGTTTTTGTTTTTTATAATTGCAGAAGAAACTATTTTCCTTCCAAGAAAAAAAATCTGGTGAGTTTTTTGTCCCAGGAACTATATTACTATCCTTTCATGGCAACTTACAATAAGTTTAAAATAACCATAAGCCAAAACATAAATAATGGTATACAGCTTTAAAGAGCTTTTGTGAAATGATTGTGAAATTTTCCCATAAGCCATCACGAATCTTGCATATTCTGGATCAGCTGAAGTTCATAAACACTTTTGTTAAATAATTGCTTGCTTTAGGATATCTGTTTACTATAAGAAAAACATTCCTAGATACTATCCCAAATGTTTAACATATGCAGTTGTAAACAATATTTTAATATTTGGTTGTGGGATTACCATGTTTTAAAGTAACAAAGTAAAACAAATTGCAGTTTTCTCCCATTTTAAAGGAGTACCGTTTCAAAATAAAATATGAGCCATGCCTAACTATAAGACATGCTTTCTTGTTCAAATGTGATTATGCATGTTACCATAGTCAGGTCTTGTCAAACATATCTACTATAAATGTAGCTGTCATTCCTCTTGCATAGTATGCCTAGTACAACTATGGCCTAAGTACATAAGCTTAGCTTCTAAAGTAAAATATCTGCACTACACAAGATATTTTTTATTGATTAAGAAACTACTACCGTGTTTCTCAGAAAATAAGACTGGGCCTTTTATATATATATATATTTATTTAGACACCCGAAATGGCTAGGCCATCTTTTCGAGTGGTGCCTTAATTCCCCCTCTCCCCCGTGCACCCTTGCCTCTCCACTGGGCAGCTTCTTTAGCAGCTGTAAGTAGCGCCCCATGCGCACCCTTGCTTGCCTACCTGTCGTCCATTCTGGGAAGCTTGGCCACTGTGCAGCTGCTTTTGATCCCTGCTTTCCCTGCCGCAGTCGTCAACTCCCCCCCCCCCGCTTTCTTTCTCACAAGAAAAACGAGCAAGAAAAAAAAGAAGGGGGGGAGGCACTTTTCAAAAGTCTATTCACTTGTCATGATCAGCCCCTGCCATGAGTGTGTGTGTGTGTGTGTGTGATGGGGGTTGTTTCTGGCAGAGATTAGGGAAGGGGGGGGTGGATTGGAAGAGATTTTCCCCACGAGAGTGGAGACCACAATGCTTGTAGGATGTGATTTATCCAGGCTGCTCTCTCCTGTTATCTCTGCAGCCTTTCAGGAAAGTTTTCTATTGTGGATTTTTGATTTTTCCCAATTCGCTTGCTGGGGGTGGCGTCCATTCTAGCTTCTGCCGCTCACAGCTTCCAGAGTTTTCCCAGTCTCCGAATAAGCGCGCGCGCACACACACACACACACACACACACACACACGAGGGGCTTCCATCCAATGCAGTGTCTCTGTATTGGTGTTATTCTGCTGTTATTTCCTCGCTTAGAGTTGGAACAACTTTTCTTTAGAGGAAGAGATTGGGGGGGGGGGGGATTTATTGAAATCACCCGGTCTTTGCAAACCTGAATCGCTTAGCTTTTCAGCAGCCCGACTTTAAAAATGGCAGGTGGGGGAGGAGAAAGAAGAATTAAAATACAACAAGGTGTGTGGATTCTAAAGAAACAAACACTTGCTGTCTTGGGTGGCTTTCTGAGGTTTTTTTTTTCCTGTGGCCAGGTGAAAAGCCATATGGGGGAGTGAGGGGGACTTTCAGGTTCAGAAACTCTTGGTTAAGTAAGTTGCGCAAGCTGCTATTTCTTCTCCCCTCCCTGCCCCCATTTCATGTTGCCTTTGATCAGATCTTAATGATAAACAACCCTTTGGTAACCTACCAACTGCATACCAAATCCCAGCCACTCCCAGGAGAACTACAAAGCAAATCCCAGCTTCCCCCAGAGGAGCCACAAAGCAATACCCCAATTTATTAAGAATCCACCATTTTATTATAAAAAAATAGATAAACAAACCAATTTATTCAAAATCCACAATTTATTCAAATACAGGCACAATTTATTCAAAAATATTTATGTCATCTTCTTCTGGAATATTGTTATAACTCTCCAAACCCTGGATTCCGGTTGGAATCTCTTGTGATTGGTCCCAATCGCTGATGTCCCCCTCGCTCCCCCGTATGGCTCTTCACCTGGCCGCAGGAAGAAAAAAAAGAAAGCTACCCAAGATAGCAAGTGTTTGTTTCTTTAGAATCCACACGCCTTGTATTTTAATTTTCCTTTCTTGTCCCCCACCTGCCGTTTTTAAAGATGAGCAGCTGAAAAGCTAAGCGATTCAGGTTTGCAAAGACTGGGTGATGAATGGATCCTCCCCCCACACCAAATCTCTTTCTCTAAAGAAGTTGCTCCAACTCTAAGCTAGCAGAATTACAGCAGAATAACACTGATTAATACAGAGACACTGCATTGGACGGAAGCCCCCCTCTGTGTGTGTGCGCGCGTGTGTGTGTCCATATTCGGAGACTGGGAAAGCTCTGGAAGCTGTGATCGGCAGAGAATAAAGGAGAATGGACGCCACCCCCCACCCCCAGCAAGCCAATTGGGAAAAATCAAAAATCCACCATAGAAAAGTTTCCCGAAAGGCTGCAGAGATAACAGGAGAGGACAGCCCGGATAAATCAGACCCTACAAGCATTGCGTTCTCCACTCGTGGTGAAAATCTCTTCCAATCCACCACCCCTTCCCTAATCTCTGCCAGAAACACCCCCCTCCATACACACACACACACACACACACACACACACACACACAAACACACACACAGAGCAGGGGCTGATCATGACAATGTGAAAAGTCCTAGACTTTTGAAAAGTACCTCTCCCCTTCTCCCTTTTTTTTTCTTGCTCATTTTTCTTGCGTGTGAGAAAGAAAGCCGAGGGGGGGAGATGTTTGGCGGGTGGCCTTTGGATGAGCGACGACTGTGGCAGAGAAAGCAGGAATCAAAAGAATTAGTGAGGCATGGGAGTGCAATCCAATGGACAGGTGATCCAATGGACAGGTAAGTCATGTGGGATGAATTTGGCAAAGTTATCCCCCCTCCTCCGCCCTTCCCCCCCATGCCTCTTCACCTCGTATTGTCTGCACTTCAAGTGATGTGACAAATGGCGGGGAAATTTAAGCCGCGCATGCACTTAAATAGGCCCAAATTTTGGGGGCAGGCCTTAATTTAACTACATGCGCACAAAGTAGTGCTGGGCCTTCGTTTTGGGGGGGGGCACGTATTGTTGGAGAAACATGGTACTTATTTGCACAAAGGGGGAGTTCCATACTGGAGGTGGCTGCTGGTTTGATGGCATATTCAACCTCCCAACCTTGTGCTCTGCTGTTGATGTATTGATTATCATATTGTTATATTCTTATAGTTCTTTTTAATTGTTTATTTTATGGGTTCTATTTTACTTCTGGTTTGTCCTCATTTCTTATCATCCTATTTTCTTTCTGTTTATCCTCCTTTCATTTTTGTCCTTTTTATTATTACAAACTGCTTAAAGTAGCCCCATACAGGTGGGAAATAAATTTAACAGATAAATAAATTTAAATAAAAGCTCATTCATCCAGGCTTGTTTATTGACAATTGAATATGTAAGGTTCCATCGAAGCATCATTTTAGATCTGTGTATCCTTGAATTTTTGTTCGGTAAATTGCACCAGAGTTTCTGTTGAATGCAATATGCAAATTAAAAATAATACTGCAAATTTAAACTTTAACACATTTTGCTTAAAATTAGGGATAAATCAGCAGTTCTTCAGGCACTTGCATTAACTGTAAACAGGGTAAGTACTATCCTTCATTGGGTTACTGGTCCTTTTTTATATAAAATACCGTAGAGATTACAAAATATATATTTATCTGTATCATGTGTTGACTGTAATATTATTTCATGTTACATCTATTCCTTTATATGAAGGGGGAAAGTATGACATTTCAGCTAACAATACAAACATAATACTATGTTCAATGTTGAAAAAAACTAATTTTTTTCCCATGATAAACAGTAGCACAAAGATGTTGTTTACAAAGTTATTAATATTTGATAGCATCAGCTTCCTTCTGAAAACATCTGCCTGAATGTTTTACAGAATATTAATTCATTTTGCTGATAACCCCAAAACAATTTTCTCTCTTATCAAGGCTTTTTTTATAAGTATACAGTAATATTAAGGAGTACAGTCATGAGTTTTTCCTAATAGAAGAGCTTTCCAGTATTAAATTACTTATTAAATTTAATATTGGTACAGCAGAAAGATGAATCTACTGTTCATTTCAGCAGAATCTATACATTAAATGTTTTTTCGTCCTCCTTACAGGATATTACAGCTGTTCCCTATGCGTTTCAAGATGATCCTTATCTTATCCCCAGAAATTCTTCAGAGCATGTAAGTGACTCTTCTGAAACTTTATTTGGCAGAAGCAAACAAAACAATGATTTACGCAGCCCCCCCCTCCCTCCCCCCAGCTCTTTTTTTGCTGGCAGAGTATTGCAGAAGGCTGTCCAGGCTGAAAATGGGGCCCAAGGCACAGCCCTTCTGAGCTCCATTTTCGCTAGCAGATGCACCATAGGCCAGTCCTTTGCTGCTTCCAAGGCCGGTCCTACAGGCCAGTTCTAAGCCTTGAGTTTGCACTACTGGTATAGACTGATTCCATTATTTCTAGTGTACTTTTGGAATTCTAAATTCCCTTATTTTTACACACTGATAATCTAATAGGCTCAGTTGGAAGAGGAAAAGCTACATCCATCTCCTCCATCGTGTCATATGCAGAGTTGCTTACTAAACTTCAGATATTATAATATAAACCAATAAAAATCATTTAAAAATAGATGTTTAATAGACAATCTTATTTAAAGTTAATAAGGAAAATGTATTTGCCTTTAGGGGTTGCATGCAGTCCTTGACATGGGACTATGATGAAGCCTGGAATTTAGTGGTAAATTGTTGCATTCATAAGTCAAGGTATCATGTGATTGTACTCAATTTTATGACCACTTTTATGACAATTGTAAAGTGAGTCGGCATGGTCATTAAGCAACTCATGTTGAAGCATGTGATTGTTAAGCAAACCAAAGTTATCGAATAGACAATTTTTTTAATTCATTGCAAACTAATCATAAGGCAAGTTCTTATATACTTCCTTAATTGAAAGGACTTCTGCCAATATACAACATTGGAAAAATGGGACTTATAGTTGCACTTAGGACCGTTGTAGCATCCTCATGGCCATGTGATTATAATTTGGTTGCTTGACAACTGGCATATATTTATTGTGATTGCAGCATCCCAGGGTTACATGATCACCGTTTGCTATCTTCCACCAAGCAAAATTGATGTGAGAAACTGGATTCAGTTAATGACTGCATGATTAAACTTTACTGCAGTGATTTTCTTAATTGTGGGCAAAAGAAGATAGCAATATCAGGTGCGTCTCACATAGCAAAATCAGTCAAACAAAAATTCTGGTTCCAATGTGCTTGTAAGCCAAGGACTACTTGTATGATGAATAGGATGCATTATGCATTATTTTTTTCCAGAATAATACAGGTATATTCTTTTCACAGCATTTCTTTTCCACATCAAAAACATCAGGACAAAATGCAGCCAAATTTGTTATTAACACACATCCTGAACTTTTTGAGAAAGACTATGCTGAACCTCACATTCAGGTAACCTTTGCACTCTTTATATAATACATAATTCACATTTATTACATACAATGATAGATTTCATATGAATCAAACAACATTATTTCCTCAATTAATCCATTGCTTGAATACTGTATGTTTAAATAATTTAAATTGAATTTGTTAGATTCATAGTTTCTCTGCTTTGACATAGTCCTTTGTTCGATAAAGATACTTAAGCCCATCCTGGTCTTATACCTGTTCCTTCTTTGCTATATATACATTATTGCTTGACTTAGCATAATTTTATCTTGTGCTGCCTACACACATTTACTTTAAGAATTGATAAGTTGGCATTATTGTGAGAACTTCACTCAGGGTATAGCAATAAGTCTCTCCCTAGAAATTCAGAAAGTACTAAAAATCACTAATGGAGGAATCAATGAAAAGGTTTGAAGAGCAAGATCACTTTTACTATAAACATAAGAAATCTTGATCATGAACAATATCTGCCATAAAAATCTAACAAATCAGCCCATTATATATATAGAAACCACAAGATTTAAATCTGCAGTCTTCTGTGCTTAAATAGTTATGAACTTGCTGCGTCTAGCTGCCACAATTAGCAATTTGCATATTTAACCCTTCAGTGTGGAGGATACCTGCAATGATACTGGTTATGACTAGGGTTAGAGTAAAGCTTGAATACAACAAGATCAGAAGCAAACAGCAAACACAGTTACAATAACTGTCCAGATGAAGTTCTGGAGCTTCTCTTGCCCCAAAGCATGGTATACTCAGTCTGTTGTGCCATGCAAGCAGGAGAAAGAGTGTTAAGATTGAATCAGTGCATCTAATATGCATAAGATAGCAAGAGAGCTAATCCTGCTTCACTGTTCTTATTGTCAGAGTAAAGGTCTAAATGTGGATTTGTATCTGAGTTTGGCTATGCCATTGCCATTCCAGGTATCATTTGAATTACTGGAATTCCTTAGTGGTGGAGCACATTAGGATTCAAGTAACTGAGAGGGGGCCACTCAAGAACAAAGTGGTTTAATATAAAATTTAGTAAATTTGTTTTTCATTGTAAACAAATTCTTATTATATTTGAAATGGCAACTTACAATTTAATTTTCAGCATGACTACATATTCTTTAAGTAGGGCATGATATTCCACTGAGAAGGGTTACGGTAAAATTAAAACCACTATAGTATATAGATAGGTTTTGTGACTAAGATTTTTGGAAAACTGAAACTTCTGTTTATACACTGTACTGTTTTTAATTATCCTGATAGTCTAAGACAGAGAGCTAAATCCCAGGCCTAGTGAGGAAGTTTGTTCCTACAATTGTTGCTATTTTCAAGACATGCTTCCATCAAAATTATGGAAGAAGAAACTTCATGCTGCTGCTCCCAATCTGAATCCTATCCTGCTTTTCAGTGAAAAAAAGTTAATAGATTTTAGAATTATAAAATAATTAGGCATACCGGTCTCCTTGCAGATTGCTAAATTCACAACAATAGCTTTGTAGAACATTTGATCCTAATTGTATTGTGTTGTTCCCTTTAGAGTCTTATGCCAAAAATGTCGGTATTGCAACTTGAAGAAGTGAGTGAGGTTGCATTAAAAAATCTAATTCAGCTAAGAAAAGTAAAAGCATCTGTGAATATGTATGATCAGCTTCTACAAGCAGGTATTAGCCTAAACCAACAGTTAAAATAAACAGATTTGGGTGGGTATAAGCTGTTTTAAATTTGCAAAGATTTAACTTATGAGAATTAACTCATTAGTAAATGCTTATAAAATTAATAAATGCTTATAAAATAATGATAGGTATTATATGGTCAAAGATATTTTGGAATATTTCTTCAATTTTAACAATAGAAACAAATTCTATTAATTTTTTTTTTGAAGATGTACACTAAAGTAGCGGTCGCCAACCGGTGGGCCGTGAGAAAATTTTGGTGGGCCGCAGAGAAATCTCACCCCCAGAACAACCCCCCCAAAGCAATTAATCCAGGCTGCGCAGAAACACAAGTCTGTGCCACCCACATGGCCTGCAGGAACCCTCCCTGCCCACTCACTCCTTACCCAGCAAACTTGCCTGCTAAATTGCTATTTTTCCTTTTTCCGACCATCATCTGTTCTGCTTTGCCGGGAGATTAGCTAGGAAGCAGAAAATGGTTGGATTTCTTGCTTTCTAGCTAGTCTTTAGATCTTCGACTCTGCTTTTAAGCACAGCCGAACCTCCCTTAGGACTGAAGGTTCTATTACTCAGTGCAGACTCACGGCAAGCAAATTTGAGAGACTGAGCTAGCCAATGGCAGATAAATAGATCACTGAAAGATTCTGTGAGCAACTCAATCTGCCTGCCTACTTTGCCTGATTTTGGGTAAAAGTTGCTTTTTTTAATAACAAAATTCAATATTTATATACATATTTATAATATTTACACACAAGCCATACCCAGCCAGTCACATGACCACCGAGCCACACCCACAAATTAGGCCACGCCCACAAAACTAATTAGTGTTCCCTTAGATTTAAAATTATGAGTTTGGTGTTCCCTGAGGTCCAAAAGGTTGGCAACCCCTGCACTAAAGTACTTAAAAGACCAGCAAGGTTATTGCAATATGTGCAATCCGGTCAGCCCTGACCATCCTGGCCATGCACCCCCATCCCAGTCCCCCGAGGACAACCACAGTGCTGATGAGGCCTGCAGTGAAATTGAGTTTCACACCCCTGTTATAAGGCAATTGTGTTATGGTGTTAATAGATGGCTAGCTAGAGTATAAGACATAGGCCTATGCCTGATCCACTGGCTCATTGTGTTGTGATTCAGAAAACCTGTGACAAACGCTTAAGACCTAGTGGTTGAACTTTATTTTATTTTGAAAGTGTTTTAGCTAGCCTTTAAGTTTTTTTCTTCCTTGCACCTTCAGGTAATTTTGCTTATTTTGCTTGTTTGTTCACTGCAGCGGATAGCAAGGCTATCCAAAACAGTAGTAAATGACAGTATTCCAAAGCCATGGTAATTGTGATTGGTCATTCAACAAACTATGTTCTATTTATGACATTTCAACTTTAACAAGTTATTACTATGTTTATACATCAGCAAATTCCATTGCTATGATTTACAGTTCATGTTTTTTGCATTTGCAGGAACAAGTATACCTCTGGAGACCTCGAACAATCTTCTGGATCTTCTGTGTTTTTATGGAGATAGAGAACCAGATCAGGAGAATGATAGCAGTTTAGAAAAACAAGTAAATAAGGATGGATGTTTTTTTTTGAATAAGGCTGTATCTGTTATGTATAAAAAACAACAACAGTGTTTGGATATTTCCAACTGCTGTGAAAGGGAGCTAGGTGCCTGTTCTGTTGTCCTAGTTTTTCATAATAAGTCTAAATAGAGAATTAGAAATAACTAGTTCGCTGGGACCCTGAACTTTGTATAAAGATATTTTAAACAACCTAGTTTAAGAGATAATTATGTTAGACATATATATGCATGTGCCAGAAGGCTAACTCTTGAATTCTTATGCAGGAAGAAACTGCGCCAAGAAGGGAGTTTGCAAGGAATTCTTCTAAATCCCAACAAATTACATGGAGGTATGAAATATATTAGCAACAATGTCTTGGAGTACATTTGCATGCATTTTAATTGGAAAGCCAGGATTTTTCTTATATATTAAGTACCTATTCAAAAATGCATTAAACAAATAAATGCTATCTAAAAAGTAACTTAATATAACCTTAGCATATTGATTTGTATTTTCAGACTTGCAAGATTTGGCTAATGTAGCTTTACAAAAATGTAGAACTAGTTTATCTGATTGTGTTTGCTGTCTGATCTATCTCCCTGACATCAGTCTTGCAAATATGAAAATATAGATTTCATACCATCCCCTTAATAGCCCAAGAAACTAGGGAGAGTCCCTTCTGAGCCACTTGCTCCACTCACTATCCAGTTGCAGGCTATGCTTTCTGTTATCTGTTCCATAGGCAGCATCTTTGTATCCTCTTTCTGAAGGTCTTTCCCTTTCCACCTTAGCAGCCTAGAGTGTGGGTGGCAGGTACATGCACAAGTTCCGTCCACTTATACAGATGGAGCTTCATGTGTGAGTGAAGGGCGTTTGGGCTCCTGTGTGAAGTTCCACTCACTTGGGCAGAGGCCACTTGTGCCCGTGTGTGAGTGGACAGCAGAGTTTCATGCACACTTGCCCATCACTCGCATGGCCCGGTTTCAAACAGGCCACGGCCCGGGGGTAGGAGACTTTTCCCATATACCATTACAGTTTGTGAGCATCTGCAAATTTTTGGACAGGTTGTGTAAAATAGGTCCCCAATCCCCAGGCAGGGAAGCGCTACCAATGGCCACCGCCCATTGGGAACCGGGTTGCTGAAGCAGCAGGCAAGTGAGCAAAGCTTCATGTGTGCATGCATGGGATTTAGGTTGCACGTGCCAAACCACCACCACCCTTGCAGAACCAAAAAAGGTTGGGGACCCCTGATCTAAAAGATTTAATTATGTTTATTTGATTTTTATCCTACCTTTGTTACTTTATAAATAACTCAAGGCAATGAATATCCGCAATATTCCTTATTCTTCCTATTTTCCCCACAATTAACCCTGTGAAGTGGAGTGTGTTATCAGAGATTGACCAGCCTAAAGTCACCCAGCCAGCTTTCATGCCTAAACTGGGATTAGAACTCTCAAGCTCCTAGTTTCTGGACCAGCATCTTAACCACTACACCAAACTGGCTTTATGTTAAACCCTAGAAGAAGACTGAGATAAAATGTAATAACAAAAATAATCTTACATGCTGTTGTGTATGAAAAAATGGAAATGTGTAAATGTTGGAAAATGTGTAATATATGTATAAGATTCAAAAGGAAAAAAAACAGCTACCAAATTAGATATTGTATATATTATCTATGCAGTTTGTCAAAAATGTGATGATGTATAATACAGTGCATGTTCATCCACAAAGATTTTATATCTTGAAAAAAGAAACTATATTGGATGCTTAAATATATAATGTATGTAATAGGCAGACAGGCGTGAACATATCATAGATTTTATAACCACACATTAGAGAACATCTATTATTGTCAGTATGTTATCTTTTTTAAATTCTAGGGAAAACAACAATGCTGAGAGAATATTTCACCTAATGCCTGAAAAAAATGTACATTCCTATTGTACAATGATCAGGGGAATGGTGAAGGTACAATTGTAATCTTTCTAACAAATTTAGTTCTCTTTTTTCCTCCAAATCTATATAATAATATTTTACACATTTTGGTCATTACAGCATGGAGAGTGCCAAAAAGCTTTTAACATGTACGCTGATATGGTGAATAAAAATCTTAAGGGTAAGCTTTGGATACTATTGCATAAAAATGTGCCAATAAGAAAAGCTAGAAATAAGCTGTGCGTACAGAATTGGTCCTTCTACAGTATAACTACTGCAATGTTTGCGAGTAGTTTTGTAAATAATAGATGCTAAATAAAAATGGTAACACAGATTTTGATAGTGCAGATTGTCTTCACTTAATGACAAGTCGGACAATTCTTTGAAGTTACGATAGTGCTGAGCAATGGTACTTAGGCTCAGTCCCCAAAGTTATGGGCTGCAAGGTGCACTTCAACACCACCCATCCTATTTTCCCCTTTCTCTGCCCTTTTAACCCCCAGCACTCCTGGCTCCTACCCTCCTGTGCTCCACCTGTTTTCCTCAAGACTTTGGGAAGAAGGCCTCATGTAGCCAAGAGCCAGGGTAGCCATGTCTTGTTAGTGCTGGTAACAGTGCATTATAATAGTCTATGCAAAGGTAATCAGGGCAAGGTAACTGTGACAAAAGTTTCATTGTTCAGAAATGGGCACAATTTGCTTTGCTGCTCTTTTTGCTACAAGTTAGGCCTAAACAGCAGATTGACCTGTGGTGGTGAAATTCATTCCTTGTGGACCTGGCAACTAATGAACCTGCAAGGATTCCAGAGGGAACCAGGTTTGTTCCTGAGGGTCTACCGCATGATGTGTATCCTATGCAATCTCTCCCTCCTGGGGATCCCATTGCTGTCTGTGATTTACAATAAAGCTGAGTAAAGTGAATGAGAGAAGAAACATCTGGAGGTCCACAAAGAATGAACTTCACCAATACAGGTCAATCTTCTGTTTAGGCCTAACTTGTGACAAAAAGAGCAGCAAAGCAATAGTATTTATCTGCTCTATTGCATCTTCAAATTCAGCAGCCTTGTTTCAGGTGACTCAAATCTTCCAGGCAATTAACCTGAAAATTTTTATCTTCAAGACCAAGCAGAAGTATTTTCAGAGCATCTGTTAAAACAAAATCACTCAAATTCATTCCCTGTTAGATGCCAACCTTGGTGCAGGTCTGGTGGAGATGCCTGTGGCACAAGCTTGCCCTGTTAACTGAAAGTAGTTTGAACCTGTTGGACCTGAGGAAGCATACAGGCTCCTTATGATTATGAATTTGGACACTTTGATATAGGTCCTGAATGAAGCAGATTATCTGGGCCTCTTTGAGTGAAGATTCAGATCTGGAGATGGGGAAGAAATAGCATTGGTTTGGTTGATTTGAATAATCTCTGGGAGAACAAGGTAGAAGTAGTGCATCCATCCTGGCTCTGCTTGACCTCTCAATAGCGTTCACTGACATTAATTACAGTATCTTTCTGAATCAGCTTTGGGGATTCAGAGTGGGCAGCATAGTATTTATTGTGCTAGTTCTCTTCCTTCCTCAGAAGCCAATAGTAGTTGGTGCTGACTGGGAATGAAAGAATGTGCAGCCATTGAGAGAGATCATCTATCACTAAGAGGGAGCCAGGAGGGTTCTTGCACAGCTTTGTATTGTGTGCCGATTGTGCCCATTTCTGAACCATGAGACTTTCGTCACAGTTACCTTGCCCTGATCACCTTTGCATAGACTATTATAATGTAATGGAGCTGCTGTTGAAGGGTATCCAGCAGCGTCAGCCGCTTCAAAATGCAGTTACATGGGCAATTGTATTGGCCTCGTAAGAAAACACATGTTACACTTCTGCTTCGTGGTCTGCTTTGTCTACAGTTTGTTTTTAGGTCCAATATAATATGCTGATTTTGAGCCCTACATGGCATGGGTCAGATTATCTGATAGATTTCCCTTTTCCAATTATATCTACCTGTCCCATCTGGAAAGAGAGGAATGTTGTGGCTCCCATTTGGGAAAGCATTCCATTTGATGGGATTTTAAAAAGTGAGCCTTTTCTACTGAGACCCTCTGGAATAATAAGCCTCCTGAGGTGATTTTAGCCCCAACATTCATGGCCTTTCAGAAAGCCCTTAAAACATGTTTTTTTTCCCAACGAGTTGGGGATACTTGGTAATCTGTTGTCTGTGTTATATGTAATATTCTCCTACTTGTGGTCTTTTCTATCTATGTTCATTGTTTTAATTGGTTTGTTTTAATAGGAGACTTTATTGCCACTGTGTGAGATAGTCGTTTCTATAAATATGACAAATAAGTGGCCATGTTTTATTGAGAAGAGAGATATAATTGATTATATGGCAATGCTGCTTGTGGTCTTAAGACATGTCTTTCCTCTCTAGATATAGTACAGAATTTGCAGCAATGATGAATGGCGCAGGGGTACGGACCTCAGCTGAATCATGGGGGCTGAGTGTGAGTTATCTGTGTTCCACCATTGCTGGCAAGTGGCTGGCTTTCTGGGACCTGGCTCACATGAGAATTCCGCCTTAGTCTGAGCTGCTATAGATATACTGACTGCTTCAGCCATAATACAAATAATACATATGCTATTTCTTACGGTATAACTGGCTTTCTGTTTGTTTCAGCTGATGTGAGCACCTTCAATACACTTATTTTAGCAGCTGTAGATGTTAAGGAAAAATACATTGAGAAATGGGCATGTATTGAAGTAAGAATAAACTTGATTTTAACTTTTCCATAGTAAATATTTAGCTGAAGTTAAATCCTGTTCTTTTATACTACAATTTATTATTAATGTACTTTTATAGTTATGTATCATCCACATTTGCTCATTTTCTAACATTCTATGGTTATATACATAAATTCTCTGTAATTCAAAGGTTTTAATAATATGTCCATCAATGAGATAGAGTAACTTCTTTTATATAATGATCAATAAAAATATAATTACAGAAATTCTAGTACGTGGTATATGCATTCAATGCATGTGAGAAGGAGAGGAGCTTCAGTTGTGCATTCCTGACTTTGTAAACCTCCCCATGATACAGTTATAATTACTTGTATAAACAAAGAGCTACTCAAAACAACTACTTGAAAAAAAAGGCTCCTTTAAAGCACCCATTGGTTTAATGAAATTCGATTTCCAAGTAGCTTCCAAATGACACGAGGGGACTGGTTACAAAAAAAAAGGGCTTTTCCTTCTTCTGGGGAGCAGTTTCCTCGGGTTTACCTGGTGTCTGCATAGTTTTTCCTTCAACAAATATGTGGGCAAACAACTTTCTTGGGGGGGATTAGTGTTTTTAACACTTATTTAACTTAATTTTGTGCTATATTTACTACTGCGGGTGTTTCTGGCTATTTTATCAGTTCTATGCCAGATTTATCTTTAATCTTTATAATAATACATTTTAAATGATCAATGTAATTATAGAAGGATGTCGACGTATTCTAGAATGGCATTAAATAAATGCATGTGCAAATGCTAAGGAATTGGGTAGGGGAAAATATGTAAATACACAATTTGAAGGAATGGGAACATTGTTAAATCAAATTCTTGATATTTTGGTTAATAGGACTTGCTGAGGCAGATGGCTGAACAGGATATACAACCAAATCTGCTAACTTTTAATTCTATCCTGAAAGCATTGAAGCAGTGTGGTAAAGTATCCCGGGCTAAGGCTAGACTGATCTTGAATGAGATGAGAGCACTAAATATAGGTAAGAATTTTCTGTAATCTGTAAGATTAATCCAATACACATTTTCTGTATTAAAGCTTAGTAGTAATATTTCTTTAAAGAGATAATCCCATGACTAAAATTATATTTTGAATTATTCACCCATTTGGACATGCAACATTATTTAATTAATAATAAATTTCAGTAAAATTCCTTAAAAAGGACCTACCAAAAATGTTGAGACACTAGAAGGAGTGCAGAGAAGAGCAACGAAGATGATTAGGGGACTGGAAGCTAAAACATATTAAGAACAGTTGATGGAATTGGGTAGATCTAGTTTAATGGAAAGAAGGACTAGGGTGACTTGATAGTGTTGCGATATCTCGGGGACTGCCACAGAGAAGAGCGAGTCAAGCTATTCTCCAAAGCACTTGAAGGCAGGACAAGACATAATGGAAGGGGGGGGGGGGGAATCAAGTAGAGAAGCAACCTAGAACTAAGAAAAAATTTCCTGACAGAACAATTAATCAGTGGAACAACTTGCCTCCAGAAGTTGTGAATGCTCCAACACTAGAAGTTTTGAAGAAGACATTGAACAACCATTTGTCTGAAATGCTATAGGGTTTCCTGCCTGAGCAGGGGGTTGGACTGGAAGACCTCCAAGGTCCCTTCCAGCTCTGTTATTCTGTTAAAGAAATAGTATCTTAAACGGAGAGTGAGGACAGAAAATAGAACAGGATAAATTTAACCAAATATAAACCATGACCTTATAACATTAGACCACATCCCCCATCTCCCCTCTAGTCTTAAATATAGTTCTTCAGGAGCTCTCAAATGTTGTTTCTGTTATATCTTGAAGGGGAAAAGAGAAAATTACTATGTGGAAAATAATCATTTTACCTTTAAATTATATCAAGTCATTAACTCAAATGTTACCCCTGGTATGAAATAAGTTATATGCATCTAATACAATGTAATACATTTTTGTACGTCAACCATGATCAACCTTGATTTGTTATATCTTTATTTCAGAGCCTAGCTTCGCAACGTATTACCATTTGTTGTGCATGTCACATAACATTGGTATGTAGTGTCTGTTTTTATAGTTTGCGAATTTGTGTAAAATTCTGTTTTAATATCTTTCCTGGCTTTTGCTACATAGAACCTGCTTCAGATTTGCTCTGAATGTGTGGATCTTTTTGTTTCACCTGTTTGGATCTTTTTTTCATACCAAATTCTAAAATAAAATATTGGTAATATTGAGACTCTTTAATTAACATTATATTTAGCAGAAATTTGTTATGCATGGTTCTGAAAGTCCTTGAGAGAGTCAGGGACAATCAGGATAATTAACCTTCCGTTTGCACTTAATTTTAATGTACTAGTTTGTTGTTTTAAAGCTTCCTTACCTTGAGTTATAATGACAGAATTTACCATGATAAGAAGCACAACCAGTCTCTTCAATTATGAGCAGCAATCATAAAAAAATTATTATGAAAACTATAATAATCTGTTTATAACTTGCCAATTTATCTGTTGCACCTGACTTTATAGTCCAATCTCATTTTCATAGAAACATATTTTACCTGCCTTTTAGTTATAACATAGTTCAATGAAACTTAACTCTTAACTCTGCTTTTTGTTGTACAGCTGGATTTTCTGATTCCCAGTCCCATATACTATATGCTATAGTAAATGAAATTGAAAGAAAAACTTTTTCTCCTCAGGATCCAGATGATGGTATGTACTTTTTTAAAAAAAATCATGGCGGTTTTGCATAGGGCATGACTAATGTATAACAAAGGTAGTTTTGAAGCTATATGAGACTTAATAAATAGCAAAGTTCTTTGGTATTTGTTTCTATTCTAAGTAATTTATTAATATATACATCAATTTCTGTGAGTAACCTACCGCAATATTGGTTGTCTATACCTTCTAGAAGATTTTTTTTAAAAGGCTAGGATGTTAAACAATAAACCCTCCATTTGTTAGAAAGAGGTATCAAATAATCATCTAGTTTTTTATATGGACCATATAATCTAGTCATTTTGTCCCTGGTGGTACAACATCACTTTTTTTTATTCTTGCAATTGTGATATAGCCCCATGATCCAACTCTTTTCTTTAAATTTCAATCTAAAATGCCTTTTTAAAAAAAATAATAATCTTCCTTTGTTTTTAAGCTTGAAAGGAAAAATGAATTATTTCCACAGTTTGAAGATAAAATTTCAGACCTCTCTTTTGAATAAAAAGGCCAATTCAAGTTGTACTTATGGTTCAGTATACATACTGGACTTATTAATATGGTCAAGCTATACTGAAGTATCTCCAAAACCCACATGCATGAGTTTCAGAAAATTCTAGCACACCTTCACCTGTAAAAACACACCTTCACCTGAAAGCACACCTTCACCTGTAAAAACCAATGGAAAAATTGAATACTTCAGCTAAAGTATATTTTCTTCCTTATATTTGTATTTTTAATCATTACCATTTTCCCCAGACATTAGATTTGGTTCTGCACATGATTGTCTGTTCCTATAGATGAAATAGTAAATTTAAGAAAGCAGAATTAACTAATTGTTTAAGGCCCTAATGTAGTTCCAATTCTTTTAAAAGCTTTTGTGGCTCTCTTTTTTTAAAACAGTAAAATAAACTACAAGTTATTGTTTTTTAAATCTCAGCATAGCAAAACAAATCACAAAAATGCCCCAAAACAGACATTCTTTCAAAAATCCCAGGCTTCATTTCCTCAATGTCATCACAGCAACATTCAACTATTCAGATTCAGCTCCCAGATGGAAAATGACTCATCCTTTCTCTAATTAGACTGTGTAGATAGTTCTTTTCAGAACTATAAATGTGCTGACATTTTCTTCTCTGTTCCAACTTGTGCTAGCTCTCTTTTGTTCTTTCTTATGGGCTTCATGGTTAACCCTAGATTACAATTTGTGCGGGGTCTAGCAGGACATCATTCCTGGCTTTCTGGGCAATAGGAGAATAACTCCTGTTGCTGGGTGCCTCAGCATAACTCAAGTACCTTCAGAGTAAGGCTCCATTTATGTGCTTAACCATTCTGTACTTGTTTGATTTAAGGTTAGTCTGTTTGGGGCATTTGGATGTAATGTTTTATTATTATAGTTTGCCTTAATCAGACTTAACATACCCAAAACAATCAGCTGTAGTTAATACAGAAAAATACAGTTAAGCATGAGGTAATGTAATATGTTAGCTTAGTTTTAGTATTCTCTTCACAATAGTTGATCAGGGTATAGTTACTTGTGCTCAAAGCTTTAAATACAATATTTAAATGCTATGTCACTATGGCTTTAGGTGGTATCTTGGTTTGAGAAGCAATGTGCTAGAGTTCTTTGACTGGATGCTTATGTTGTATTGTTACTGAGCCTTTAGAATTTGTTTCAATAATTCTAAGAAACCCTCTGTTGGATTGCTAGAGAATGTCCAAAATTAACATTCCCCCACTACTTCTTTTCCAGTCTACTTCTTTCCAAATGCAATGAAAACAGTAAGTAGACTTGATTTCTATATATTGAGGTAGATACACATTCACACTTGTTTAAATGTAAATATATATTTCAGTGGCTTTCAGGCTATTTCTGTATTAGCTAGATTTAAAAACAATTTTTAAATGGTATATTCTCTCTGTAGTAAAATCTTAGCGAAAATATGTGGAATAATGTTGCAATCCAATGTGAGACTGTTTGCTGTTCTGCTGATCCAGAAAATAAGATGTCAAAAAAGATCAGCCCTGCTTTGCACTTCATCTAATTCTTCTAACCTTACCTGTCCTCTATCCATCCTCTTGAGCTTGGTGGCACAGTGGTTAGTGTGCAGTACTGCAGGCTAATTCTGCTGGCTGCTTGCAATTTGGCAGTTCGAATGTCACCAGGTTCAAGACTGACTCAGCCTCCACCCTTCTGAGGTGGGTAAAACAAGGGCCCAGATTGTTGGGAGCAATATACTGATTCTGTAAACCACTTAGAGAGGGTTGTAAAGCACTGTAAAGCGGTATATAAGTCGTAAGTGCTATTGCTATCTTAAAAGATATTTTATGAACTTGTGACCTTTTATAAAATATGAATTAGGATTTTATGATTCTTGCTAAAATTGAAAAAAAAATGTATGATGTTCTGTGTAGCAGAGCATTGCTATTTCTTGGATTCAAGGATTCAATATATTGTGCCTTTATTACAGTGTCTGGAACTGAAGGACGTCCAACTTGCTTATCGACTACATAGAGTGCTGCAGAAAGCAGAGAACAGGATAACGTTGCGAAATATGACACAGAAGAACTTTTATTAGTAATTGTTATTTAGCATTCATAATTATAGAATTGAATTATCAACAGCTTCAACTGCGCTGGAAGATTAAATAGAACAATAGAATAATAGCAGTGAAATAACAATGAATTACATCAATCCCCAACGGCTCTATGAAAGAGCACTGTTTGCCAAAGACAGTTAGGAAACATATTGAATTACAATCAGGTACATTCCCAAAGGCCAGTATGGCCACCAAGAAGTAGCATCTCTGGCTTTGTGCCCCTCCCCTTTTCACTCCCCCCAAAGGGAGGAACCATAGGAAACTTTTCTTGGAACGATTATGTAGGGCAGACAGATTCTAGGTGGCAAATATGATTCTGAAAGTAACCTGGTATCAAACCATAGAGAGCCTTGTAGGTTAAAACGAACCCTTAAATTACAGCCAAAGTTGATTAGTAACTAGTGCAGGGCCATAGGAAAGTATAATGTGCTCCCAATATTAATAAGCACAAAAGCCGCTGCATTTTGGACATCTGCTGATTTTAAGCGCTTTTTAAAGGCGGAATGAAGGATGGCATGTTACAGTAATTCAGAGAAGTGACGAGGACATCATTAACTGTAGAAGATACTCCTATCCCAGGTAAAGCCCACAACCCAAAGGAAGCCTTGAGTCCAGGAGGACCCTAAAGTTGCAGATCTTGCTTCTCCATCAGGAGATAATATTGGAGCAGACAGAAAGCTCTGATAATGTCAGACCTACAAGGTAGAACAGATCGAGAAATAGACACTGCATAGGCTTAAAACTACTTATATTAGAATGGCTACCGAATCATAACCTAGAAAGAAGTAAACAGTGATCCGATTCCAAATTTATAAGTGATGTTTTACCAGCAGATGGTTTTAATTTTGTTAGGTAAAGCTAGATAATTTATACTATCTGCTACATTTTCTTCGAGATTCAAAACATTAAGATTTTATTTTAAGTTACAGCTGTTTGAGAAGTGAGAACAGGAATTTTGGAAGATTACATGATAACCTTTTCCTTCTTGAAGTTGATAGTGTTTTAATAACTGATTATTTCTTTCTTTGCCATAGTATGTCATTTTTTGAATTGTTGGCTGTGATGGAACACTTTGATGTTTTGTTGAAGTGGTATAAAGAACTGGTTCCATCAGTAAGTATTATTTGTTAATTTATTCTTTGTGACTTTAAAAGTTTCAACGTCAGTAACTCAAAACTGTGATTATCCAAAATTTTGCATTTCTTCTTCAGGAATTTTACCCAAATATTAGAACAATAATGGTGCTTCTTCAGGCATTGGACTCTGGCAATTGCTTGGAATTGATTCCCCAGATATGGAAAGGTTAATTATACTTTGTTTTTCTGTTTCCAAGGTGATAAGCAATTCTTCCCAAGTTAGTCAGAAGAAGGCATATTTGCCTCTTTGAGCATCAGTAAAAATTAAAAAATTCCTTTAGATCAGAGCCACATTGAATCAGGAAAGCTTTTACCATGGTGCCTCATACTATGAGACTGGAAATTTATTGCTCAAATTACAAACTTGCTAGTGCAGTTTGTATAATTTCTAATCATTGTTGGTTAGCAATCCCCAGTGACAGATCCCATTGTAGGAAAAAAAGATCTAGTTAGATTGGATGTTTAATAGTGCTCATCAAAACAAAGTATCTGTCACTCTCCCATTAGCTTAACTTTCATATAGTCTCTACATTTTCCTGTCTTTGTGTTTAGCCATACAATAATCATTAATTAGGCTCAGTTGAATCTAAGGATTGAACTTCCATATTTTAGTAAAATAAATTTAGTAAATTTTAGTAAAGTTTTAGTAAAGTTGCTAATTTCATTGATCAAGAACTGCTTGCAGTTATTTTATTTCTGATAACTTTTCTTTCTTGTTCAGATATTAAGCAATTTGGATTTAGTCTCAGAGACACTATTGTACAAGAAGTTCTGGCTCTTATGGCAAGAGATGTACAGTCTCCGGAGGTGAGTCTTGATGGAACATGGGATGTGGAAAATGTTCACACTTAATAAAAATTGTAGAGATCAATGGCATGAATTAGCTAATGCTGAAATGAATCCAGGAGGCCTGCTCTTACTATTTCTTATTATAATAAAACATAGAAAAATGTTGCAGGATTAATTTTCAGTTGCTGGAATAGCAATAATATCCATGTTTGCAGTAAAACAATACACACTGGGAAGTTCCTCTATTTTTTCAGCAGAGCAAGCTGCTGAAAGAAATCTTATTCTTTTCTTTTGCTTCTTCACTTGGCATATCTCATCTTCATGCACCCCAGATTCCTAACACATAGCTACCTATTAATAGAAAAAGTAATCTCCCAAGATGGTTTATAATTCATCATGTAATAAGTTAATCATTTCAAAGTTAGAGTAACAGAAAAGCCCAGTGCATGCCAAAAAGATATGGAAAATATATTTATTTACAATACAACAACAGCCCCCAATCTTTTGGGAGCCAGGGACCAGTTCCATGGAGGTTTTTCTGAGAACTGAAGGGGCCGTGGTTTCACCTGTTGCCCTCATCCCACGGATGTGTGGATGTGGCTTCACTCCTTTGCGTGGCCTGGTGTCTGGTGTGCTGTGGAATGCTGCTGGTCTATGGCCCAGGGGCTGGAAACCCTGTAATATGTAACTACCATACAATATTATAAAAAGAAACCATATAGCATATTTATATAATATTAAAATTCTCATTCAAGTATCCTTTAAATCCTGTGCATAGGGCAACAGTTTTTGAACCAACATATCTTAAATGGGCTAGTTTACAGAATGTCCAAAATCCAAGACCAATAATTTCCAAGGGAATGAAATTTGAGAAAGTTGTGGCTGCTTCAGTGCTGCTGTTACATTCTAATCATTTTCAAAGTTCCATGACAGTTTGATAGTGAGTCTTGCAATCCCCTTGCTTCCTCTCCTACCCAACAGCAACCATTTCCTTGCCTGCTGTAAAGGAAGGGAGATTTCCAATGCTGTCTGTCAGTTCCCATAAGAAACTCAATGGGGGAAACTGGCAACTACTCTTCTGCTCCCATTCATTTTTGCCTATCCTTGGCATAAGAGAACAACTTAAATGTTTCTGGAGTTTTAAGATCAAGAAAGCTATCCTTTAGTAGAAAATGTGCAAGGTAGTCTTTGCTTAATGACCCTAAAAAGGACTGGAATTTCTGTTGCGGAGCGATCATTTGACCACACCATTTAGCAAAAGCAGTTCTCCCCCATCTCTTTGGCCATCCTGCATTGCCTCACTGTCCTGTATCCTGTTGCCCCTGACCCCACCATCCCAACTGGCTGCCATCATCTTCCTTTTTCTACTGACAAGATGTGCCTCGCCCGGTCCTTCATCAAACAGCTGTTGGGGAAGGTTTTGCATAGCCAGCAGTTGCCTCACAAAGGGCCAGGCCAGGTGCACCTCATCAGTAAGAGCCACAAGAAGGCAAAAATAAGCTGGGGGCTATGGGGGGTATTGGGCAGTAGAGTAGTGGAAGGCAAAGTTTCAAAAAGGCAGAGATGAGGGATAAGATAGGCAGTAGGAAGAGTTAAATTGTACTCTGGTTATAGATGCAGGTGGGCACTACAACAGCCATAAATTCATTTGTAATCAATCATAAACAGGACTGCTTATAACTACCATTCATTTAATGCAATAGTAACAATTGCTGAAGGCAGGGTCATTAAGCAAGGACTACCCATACATCAGTTGTGCAGTTGCATTGGCCTGAAAGAGTTTAGTTGTCATAGGGACAAATTTACCTGCTTGCATCCTGTAAAATCTTAAGATGGTCTTGGTGTTCTTTGTGCTTTTGAGAATATGGCTGGGTTGAATAGTAATTTTCCTATCATTTTGAAAAAGAACCCTGAGATTTTTATATTGGTTAACTTGTTTGATTCTATTATTATTAACTGAGCATATATATATATATCTTCTGATACTTTAGAAAAGTAAGATTTTGGTTTTATCGTAGTGAACAGTTTAATACTCATCTTTACAATAGCTTGCCAATATATGCTTGGGAGAGTATTATTGCATCAACTGCCCATCAATATCCGCCTAGTTAAGATTCTTCTATCTGCTATATTAGGGTCATGAATTTGCCCCTAAATAACTGATTTAAGTATTTTAACTAAAGAATGTATGTAAATACTTAGTAGTGGTGGGACAGCTCTCTTTCATTCTTTTGGATATTTTAACGTAAACAAAAATCCTCCCCCCATAGCTGTTCTGACCCAACCTGGTTCCAAAGGAAGCCAACACCAGACAAAGGCAGCAGCCCCCACCTTTTAAGGTTTCATCTACAAATTCTGTTTCTTCACAGATAAAAGGCTGCTTCCAACTAATTAGCTCTGACAAGAAAGAGTCTTGCCAGGTTGTTTTTCAAGGCTGCCAAAAACCCACAGATAAATAGTTTACAAGAGTTTTCAAATACTAACTATAATCTCCATGAGGCTGAATTTCAGAACGTCTTTGCCTTCTGCAAAAAAGGCTTCTTCAAACCTGGCTTTTATCCTTTTGAGGGAGGGGCCATTACCTTGCAGCCTTACTCCTGAGTCACCGGTGCTGCTGTAATTGCTCTCTCCTATGAGCAATCCTGTGCGCATGCGCACTTGGCGCAGGCTCCTCGGGAACCTCTTCATCACTGCTGCCAGCCCCCACAGTCTCTGAAGGCAGCAGTCCACTCCCTAATGGTCCTGGTCCTTATCTGAGTCCTTGCTCTCCTCCACCATCCACACCTGCTGTCGGCTAACCACAACAGTAGCGGATGTTTGTCTATGGAGGAATTATGATTTTGGTTCATAATTTACTCTTAGAAGTATATGACAAAGATACAAAGTTTAAGTATCAATAAGATGCTAATGACAGCCTACTACAATTCTGGAGGCATCCACATATTCCTCCTCTTAGTATGATCCACGTTGAAGGCAGTGAATGAATCATTGCAGTGTTTAAGCAAGATATGGGAGAGGAATTTGCAATTTTACTTCTTCATTCTGCTTGTGAAGAATGTGAATGGTAATCACAGGATTGCAGGATCTTGCAATAAATGCAAGGATTGGTTGCAAAGTTGGGTTTTTTTACACTATTGTAAACTGAACAGTCATTAAATGAGGTAGCAAGTGAGGATTACCTGAATAGAAAATTGCATTGGTTGAAAATTAACAAGTTTTTGATCTTGGTTGTTTACTCACATTTGATTTACTTATATTAACAACAGTTAAATACAGAAATGCCCTTAGGGACAATAAAGATAAATAAGGATATTTAATCTTAAAGGTTTTACCTGGGGATATACTTAAAATTGTCCCCCTTTTTTTGGTCTTGCTCTTGTTTTTTAATTTGGGGTTTTGTGTGTGCGCGTGTATGTATGTATGTATGGGATACAACTTATTTTCTATAGACATTTTGGAGAGGCCATGGGTATCCCATAGTTGTTTGTATCTCCTTCTGTAAAGAAGGTGTTGTCTAGGTGTACCTAGACCTGCTAAAACACTACTTTAGCTTCATATCTGAAGTAATACTCATTGCTAGATTGCTACTGTTGCATGCAGATGCAAAGTATCTTAATGTTTTACAGACCCAAGTTGCATTTGCTGATTGTGCTGAAAACATAAAATCTCTGCATGACTTAAAGAGCAAGAACATGCAACTCCTGTGGAAAGACACTTCTCTTAATAACACCACAATACTTTTTGCCAGGGCTGGCAGAACACAAGAAGCTTGGTAAGAAAGAAAAAAAAAGAGTCCCTACCAATCATTTGTATTTCATTCTGGAGATAAATCTTGAAATATAACAACTTATCCCAGGTTCTGAGCCATAGAAGTCAAGTCTCTCTCTAACTCAATTACATACCATCTTTGACTTTGATTTATTTATTCTGTGTAGAGGTAGAGTACAACTTTATCTATGGAGCCTTAATTGAAAACTTAAGCGCCAAAGTACATTGGGGGAGGCAGAGAGGGGAAAGAGAGAGAATATAATGAAATCTAGCTATTATGTTTTCTTTTTTCCTTCAAGCAGTTCCTGGAGGAGGAATACAGCTAAAGGCATGGAGCCTGTTCTTATAGTTTAAGGTTGCACCAGAAAGTCCAGTAATACTTTACTGGCTGTCTCACTTCATATGCTTCACTTTTAGACTAGAGGCAGGTATATGTAGTATCTGAGCAAAAAAAAAAAAAGCCTTTCTAACTGGCAGGTTTTTTACCAGGATAATAGAGATATCATGGGCTGTATGAGGTAAAGGCTTTTTTTTCTACTGCTGGAAAATATCAACTTGTTCAAGGGAAAGGTGTGAGTGAAGCTGCTACCACACTTACGAGCTGGTTTCATCTTTATGGCTATAGATGTTTCCAAAGGCACCATCAATCTTTATCTCTACCCCAATGAGAAACTAGTTTTTCTAGTGCTTTTTGTTCCACTATAACTGTTAAAATTACTTAATTTCCATATTCTGTGAACATTTTTTTCTTTTCCTAAATAAAATTCTATTCGATTCAATAGAGGTGTTTTTTTTTCATTTTAGGTTATTAGCAGTTAGAAAAAATCATTTTCAAGTGGGATTTTGGATTTCCTTGGAGAATTAGTTGTAGTTCTTTTTTGTTGACTACATAACCTATATTGTCTTGTTGTAAGACAAGATTTGGGATTATATATACGGGTAGTTCTTGATTTGTAAAACCCTTCATACCTGTAAGTCAAGCCTCTTGATGGACTTCTGATCATACTTCTTTCATCTCTGCATTTAAATGGTAATTTTTATTTCTTTCATCTCCAAATAGGAACATGCTACAGCTGTTTAAAAAACACTCTCAAGTTCCCAGGTAAGCTTGCCTTTTAAAGTTTGCCCCTTGGAAGTCCTGATAATAAATGTCAGTCTTTACTTTCCCTTTGATTTGATCTGTTCATTAGCATTCAGACTAATTTGACCCTTAGTTTTCTCCAGTGTTAAAATGCCACTTTCTGCCATTGTCCTGTGCTGGCCCAGTTCCATCACCAAATGTCAGCTTGTCATTTCCTCGGAAAGACTGGTGGTTTTGTTAGCAGAGCAAGCAGAGCTATCAAGGGAACTGCTACAGTTGTAGGTGCAATAAAGCCTGAATCCTCTTCAGAAATTTACATCCACTGCTAGAATACTGAGACTTTAACCTTTAAACCTTTTAAGTCACTTTTAAAGACTTCTGTATTTTGGTTATGCAGAGAAGTAGCATTGAATGTATATTTGTTTATCTGTTAATTGGTAGCAGAAAAAGAACTATTTATTGGTCTACTTTTCAGAAAAAAGCATTGTGATGTTATCATCTGTGAATGGAAAACTGAGCTGCATTGCATTGATAATTTGACTGGAATCTACAACAATCCTTTTCTTTCAAAACTTTTTACACTGTTATTAATTTCTGAGCTGAGCTGTCACCTTGGATCAGCAGTTTGAATCCTTGAATTTGTGCCAATGTAGCATAAATAAAGCAATGACCTTTATACTGCATATCACCAGAAGTCCAAGAATCAAAAGGTGGTAGCACAAGTCTATTTCAGAAGTTTTTCAGAACAGAAAAATATAATTATTCAGATTAAACTTTCCTGATAGCAGATGTGACCTTTTGTAAAATTAAGATTCTCTACTTAAGACTTTTTAGGAAAACTGCCTTGGCTGGATAGATGCTTCTCTGCCTGCTCATGAAACTCATGTAATTACTTGGGTTATGAAGAGGTGCCTTTAGTGTTTTTTGTAATAAATATTGGGATCAGAAATTTCTCAGCTCAACAGTAGTTTATTTACTTATTCTTCCAGTCTCTCCTAAAGGTGACTCTTAAGGGGCTTACGATCTCTAGTTGGTTACCATCATACCTTGTCAGATAAAATGTTTTCCTATCAAACTGTTACAGATGCCACTGCAGTATCCATATCCCTTTTTCCTTTTTGCAGTGATTTGACAGTGAAAGAGATATTCGGTTGCATTAAACAAAGTACACAAGCGGAGAAAGCACTGGAACTAGTAAAGCTGACTGCTGAATATGGGATACAATCAACGTCCGTGCTTGCCAAGTCAACTCTAGAAGAATTTGAGCTCTCTGCAGAGCAAAGGTAAGTTTCAGCAAGTACGTAGCTCGGATGGTTATTGCTCAGAGCACCTAGGATATATATCATTGAAATTCACCGATGTAGTAATCTTCTTGGCTATTTTCCTGTTTATGGTTACCTGAGTCCAGATAGGATGGGTTATATTATCTTAAACCAGTAGGACTGAATCTGCTCAAAATCAAGCTCCACCCCTTTGCTGTGGCCACTCCCCAGTTTTTGACTCAGTCTTAGCCAGGACAAGACATGTTTTGCAAGGCTCCAGCTTTAAGTGGAGCCTGATTGTTAAAAAATTAAAAAAGTTTTAAAAAGTACTTTTGAGGCTTGGAAACTGTGAGTGGGCTGATTTTAGCTCCCAGAGCTTCCAAATCACAAGAAGGGCTTCAAACGCAGCGCGTGTAGCCAGGACCACGTGGGGCAGTTCCAGGCGATCGGCTGGATAAGTGCAATCAGCTGATGGGCGCGGCAGCAATAGAAACCACTTGCTGTTTCTCTTTCGCTTTCTGGCTGGCTGAATTGATTGCCTTGGCTGCAAAACACACAGCGAAGCAGCCTGCAGCAGCGGCTTGAGGACCTGGAGCAAAAGCCACAGCAGAGCTTTGCTGCAAGTTTTGGAGGAAGCAAAGCAGCTGCTTTGATTGGGCATGGCCCAATCCCAGCTGGCAGGGATTACCCCCATCTGAGGACGCTACTGGCCACGTTGCCAGTGCTCCGTTGCATCTCCAGCACTGAGGAAATCGCGTGGGCGCCTGCTGACCTGTTTGCAGGTCCAAAAAACCCGGTGTGTGACTGGCAGGGGTGGCTGCAGCCCATCAGTAGCCTTCACAGGCGTGCTAAGCCGGCTTACCAGGTAAGGTGATTAATTTGTTTCTGGATCTGGCCTTTTATTGCATTATTCCCTTGTGAGTCAATTTATTAATACTCCTCGCTCCTTCCAGCAGGTCCCCTCCCTTCCCTGCCTCTTTGTGAATTACTTAATTCTCCAGGTGAGATGGCTGATAAAGAACAAGAAAGGGAGCCCAGCCCTTCCACTTCCAAAGGAAAATCCAGAGGCAGACAGAAGAGGAAGGCCCCTGAACACAAAGATGTTGCCAGAGCTGAACCAGAGGTCCAGAAAGAACCACAGTTTTCTGGAAAAAGGTTGGAGAGATGCCACCATGTGGCTGGGGGGAAGGGCAGGAGATCTCCCCCTCCTGATGATGGTTCAGATCAGTCTGCACAACCCCCAGTTTTACAAGTGGAAGTAGAGCCTTCTACCTCTACTGGGCCTCCTCGCCCCAGTATTTGGTCCCCAGTTGGGGATCCAGCTCTTTTGGGAGACCTTGAGAGAGATGATAGGGAGCCTAGAAGTGTGGAGGAGCTGCTTCGTCCTCCCCCTAAAAGGGTCAGAACCTTACAATTCTGAGGAAGAGGAAGAGGCTGTTCTAGCTCATTTGGAAGCCATTATTGTTAAGGCGATCAGGAGAGTGGTAGAGGCTCTTCGAGCTTCTAAAGGAAATATCTCTGAGGCCTCAGATCAATCAGAACCAGACAGATCTTTTCAGGCTAGAGAAACCTACTCTTTCAAAGACAGAGGCTCCCCAGTGCCTTCGTTACCCAGCATTTCTGGCAGAGCCCTTGAAGAAGAGAAAAAAGAATCTGACTTCTCAGGATGAGGATATGGCCCCTGAAAGACCATCCTTTACTGGCAACTTTGATGCACAGAAGTTTAAAGCTTTATTATTCAAAGCCAAGAAAACTGCAAAGTTGGGACCTGGGGCTGATGTCGGTGAAGCAGAGGGTGATGGCACGGTGCCACCTGATCAACTTTTTGATGAACCAGTTGTGAGATCAGAAATGATGCCTGTCCCTAGATTATTCCTCAATGTTATACAAAAATGGATGAAACCTCTGGTACTTCCTCATCACTGTCAGCCAGCGAGAGGCGTTTCTTCACCATGGGGCCCGAGCTGACCAGCTCCCTACAGGTACCTACAGTTGATGCACCTGTTGCGGCTATCATCTCTGCCTCATCCAATCCGGCAGATCCTGAAGAGGCACTAAAAGCTGAAGATAAGAGGATTGAGTAATCCCTCCAGCTCACCTGGCTGCTGCTTGGGCAGTTAAGGCGGCTTCAACCGCCTCCTTTTTCATGAGATCTTCTCTACGGTGGCTTCGCCAATTGCAGGACAGAGTCCCTGCATCTGACATGAGAATTCATCAAGATATTCATAAGTTGGTCGCAGCCCCAGAATTCACCGCAGACACTACTTTGAATAGTGCCAGGTTTGCCCCCAAGGTCATCACCACATCCATCGCTGCCCATAGAATGTTTTGGCTGAAGAGTTGGCAAGCAGACGGCTGGTGCAAGTGGAAGGTGGCCTCTTTTCCCATAAAAGGGAAAGTGGTGTTTTGCAAGGTCCTGGAGCTGCACCTGGTTGAAACCAGGAACAAGAAGAAGTATCTTCCTTCTCTAAATCGACACTCCAGTTTCAGTGCTGCTCCTTATAACCGTAGATCCTCTTACAGAGCAGAGGGCGATTCAGGGGTTCAAGGGTCCCAGAGTCAACCCTACAACCAGCAAGAACGCTCTCAGGACAGAGCAGCCCATGATAGACTGCAGTACTCAGACAAGCGGCCCTTTCGTGGGGGAGGAAGTCTCTTCTTCAGGCACTCCCGATAAGGATAGCAGTAGTCCTCCCATTGAGGGCAGATTATCCCATTTTGCTGCCCAATGGGAAACTATCACATCCGATGCTTGGGTGTTACAAACTGTTTGACAGGGTCTATCCCCTGAATTTCGATCCCCCCGCCTCCCAGATCTTTTGTACCTTGTTCAGTCTCCAGAATACCCTCTCGTAGACGGTTGGTGGAACAGACAATTCAACACCTTTTAGACATCAGGGCCATACAAAAGGTCCCATTAACCAACATGGCAAGGGATTCTATTCGTCTGTTTGTGATACCTAAATCTTCTGGGGGATGGCGAGCCATCTTAGATCTTAAAAGGCTCAATAAATTTGTATAGTACAAGTGTTTCAGGATGCATTCACTACAGACTATCTTGGCCAGCATCAGGGAGGGTGACTTCCTCGCCTCTATAGATCTCACTGAAGCTTATCTTCGTATCAGAATTTGCCATTCACATAGGCAATACTTACGTTTCACTTACCAAGGCAAACATTTCCAATACAGGGCCATGCCCTTTGGCCTGTCCTCTGCACCCAGGGTTTTCACAAAAATCTTGGCAGCCCGTTTGAGGAGTATCCCCATTAGGGTTCAGTGTTACTTAGATGACATTTTAGTCCAGTCTTCTAAGGACCAAGCCCTAAGGGATCTACAGACTACCATTAACATGTTACAAGGCCACGGGTTTTTCATAAGTGAGAAGAAAAGCCATTTTTCTGCTACCACAAGTTTATTGCATTTGGAGACTAAGATAGATACACTTTCTTGCAAAGTTTTTCTCTCACAAGAGAGGATTGACAGTTTGCATTCTATGATTGGGGAGATTGTGAAGGCTTGTTCTTCCTCCCTGGCTTCTCTATCCCAACTATTAGGGAAAATGATTTTCACCATCTCCATTGTGCCTTGGGCCAGGCTTCACTCCAGAAAGCTTCAATGGTTCCTTTTGCCACATCAAAAGGCAGGCAGGAGTCATTCGGCTATTAGGGTCTCCATCTCTACATCAATCAAAAAGTCATTGTTGTGGTGATCTTCTCCAGCCTTGCATGCTGGACAATCATTCAAAGAACCTTCCCGTATAGTCATCACCACGAATGCCAGTCTCTCCAGCTGGGGAGCCCATCTAGACTCGAACTTGGCACAGGGTCTGTGGTCCCCCTCGGAAAAAGGGAAGAGCATTAATTGGTGCGAATTAAGAGCAGTTAGGTTTGCTCTCAAACAATTTAGGTCACACATTTTTCATTCTCATGACCTTATCTTGACGGACAACACCACTGCCAAGGCACACATTAATAGACAGGGAGGTACCAGATCCCAAGTTCTTATGTTAGAGGCTGAGTGTCTGGGACTTTGGGCAGAAAAGAATCTCCTTTCTGTTGGGGTGGAACACATCTCCAGGGGGGATAATACACAAGCTGATTGGCTAAGTAGAGCAAAAATTGACCCCTCAGAGTGGAGTATTCCCCCTCTTCTGTTTCAGGAGCTGGTTCAGATATTTGGACATCCAGCAGTGGACCTGTTCACCTCTCCAACCAACGCCCAACTTCCCGGATTCTTCACCAGGTTCGCACACCAGGGAACAGAAGGGACCAACCCCTTGAGGTGCCGTTGGCCTTGGGGTCTTCTGTATGCCTTCCCTCCTCTTCTGTTGTTGTCAGCGGTGATTCGGAAAATTTTGGAGGAGAAGGCAGTGGTATTGTTACTAGCTCCATATTGGCCCAGACGTCCTTTGTTCGCAGACCTGGTGAATCTCTCGTGCTCCACTCCTTGGAGGATCCCTCCTCTCAAAGTCTCGCTTCTCAAGGAAGAAGTCTCACACCCGGATCCTCAGTGGTTCCAGCTGACTGCATGGCGGTTGAGCGGAGCGCTCTAAGGAAGCAAAAGATTTCTGAGAAGGCCATCCAGACCATCCTAGCAGCCAGACAGCCTTCCACTAACAGAACTTATCAGGCCACTTGGAAAATTTTCTGCCAGTGGTGTTTGAAATCCAAAATTTCCCCCAATTCAGCTTCTGTGGCCAATATTTCGGATGTTTTGCAGGAAGGTCTCGACAAGGGACTCTCCACTAATACCTTGCGTAGGCAGGTTGCAGCCCTTTCCTCGGTTTTCTTTTTGCACCGAAAAGGTTTCCTATCTCTCAATTAGACCATTCATAAATTTTTAAAAGGGGCATCGAATTTAAGACCACCGGTGGTTCAGATTTCCCACTTGGGATCTTCCCAAAGTTCTAAAAGCCTTAATGTCTCCACCCTTTGAATCACTTAAATCAATAACTTTATATTTCCTCTCTCTCAAGGTGGCTTTTCTCATAGCCATCACCTCGGCTAGGAGGATTTCTGAGTTAGCTGCTCTTTCTGTCAAGGAGGGCTTGTGTGTCTTCCATGCAGACAGAGTGATGTTGTGGTTATTCCTAAAATCAATTCCAGATTTCATAGAGCACAGGAACTTGTCCTTCCCCATTTTTGCCCTACTCCTTCCTACTCTCTCGAGCAATCGTGGCATACTCTGGATGTACGGAAGGCATTGAAGACTTACATCCAGAGGACCCTGCCATTCCGCTGGAGGCTCTGTTCGTCTCATTTCAACCTGGTTCCTTGGGGTTGAAGGTGTCGCCAAAGACGTTGGGCTTGTGGATTAGGGTCTACATTACTAAGGCTTACCACACTCCAGCTCTTCCAATTCCAAGAGGAGTGACAGCACATTCCACCAGGAGTGCAGCAACAACGGCGGCCTGGGTTACCCAAGCCCCCATTGAGGAGATTTGCAGAGTGGCCGCCTGGTCTTCTCTGTCTCCTTTTATCAGACATGATATTTTTCCGATTAAAATCGGAATTCCGATTTTTTTGGGAATCGCCCGGGCGGGCGGGGCGAGCGGCGGGCGGGCGGGCGATTTCTTGGCGCGCGGTGGGGGGTCTCTTGGCCGGCCCCGATTTTTTTTTCAGAGGGGAATATCATACCTGTTTTATCTGCCATTATCACATTGATGCCTTCACTGCGGCAGACGCCGCTTTCAGCAGAAGAGTCCTGCAAAGTGTACATGAACACTGATGTAAGTAGGACCAGACTATTGCCTTCCCTGGAATTAGCAGGCTTAGGTATGTCTCATCTTATCTGGACTCACGTAACTATAGACAGGAAAAGGAACATTGGCTTACCTGAATGTTCATTTTCTGTCTTGGTGGAGTGAGTCCAGCTCCACCCTAGTTCGTCCAGTCTGGGGTGGCCTAGGCGGGTGCATTAATGTGTGTCTGTTTATCTGCATTAGTTGAATCACGTCCAGTCTGCCTTGATGCTTCATCGAAAGCTGGGGAGTGGCCACAACAAAGGGTCGGAGCTTGAATTTGAGCAGACTCAGTCCTACTGGCTTAAGCTGATATAACCCATCCTATCTGGACTCACTCCACCAAGACAGAAAATGAACATTCAGGTAAGCCAATGTTCCTTTTGTTTCATTCATTTGCCTAGCAGCTCTTTAACTAGCAGCAACCCTCGAGCTAGAGCTAGAGAGACTAGCCCAAACTGTCAAATGAGTTTCATGTCTTAGTTCAGTTTCCCTGTCCTAGCTGAGATATTTTGATCAGAATATCATATTCTTTTTTACGCAGGCTCTGCCTTATCCCTTTTGAAGCACATTTTTTGCCAATAATAAATTGTTGTGCCAGCAGTTTGACAAATCTGTAATTGTGCTCATGTTTTTTTTCTTCCCTAGGCAGACTCTGGTTGATATAATAGAAGGAAGCTGTGGTTATAAATAGGGGTCAGAAGAGAAACCCCTTCCTCTTTGCTGAAAGAAAAAGTAACTTACCTGATCTCAATATAGCGGTCAGAGAGTGGCCCTGAAAATCTCTGCGAACCTTGTACATAACTGTATTATATTGGTATTATTATCATGTGGATTCTCATCTGATGGCAGTTGGTAGGAAGTTCTGGTTTCACCTGTTTTGGAGTGTTTGTTCTCATTCTCTACAACCTCAGTTTTTAAAACACAGTGTCTGCCAGAATCGTAGAATTATTTACTTACTATATTGCATCTACATTTTCCTTGGAGAGGCTAATAGAAATAAAGAGTAATCCATTTGCCTCTTTTCAACAGATGTTTTTTTATTTAAGCTAAATCTATTTGAACTGACTAAAGAGCTCTAAAGAGGAGCAACAACAAGAAGTGTTAGAAGAAGAACAAGGAGGAAGAGATAAAGAAGAAAGAGATAGACCAAGAAGAGAAGGACTGTGAACAAGACCCCAGAGAGAAGCAAGGACCAATAGAAGACCAAGACAGACCTACTATTAATAAGATGGAAGAAGAAATTAGATTAATTTCACTAAATATCAATGGATTGAATTCCCCGACCAAGTGAAGGCAAATGTTAACAAAATTAACAAAACAGAATGTTGATATTATATGCCTTCAAGAAGTACATATCCAAAAATCAGAGTAAATATTTGGAATTCCCCAAATTAGGAAAATTATATGTAGCATTGGCAAATCAAAAGAAAAGAGGGGTGGCTATGTATATAAAAAAAGAGATGAACGCAAAACAAATTTACGTGGAAAAACAGGGCAGAATCTTAATGGTACAATTGGAGATATCGCAAAAACAAGTATTGTTAGTGGGAATATATGCACCGAATGCGAATCAAAAAATGTTTTATCAAAAATTATATGATAAAATAGTGGAGACAGGACAGACTAAGATATGCTTGGTCGGAGACTTTAATGCCATAATGGATACTTAAAAAGATTGGTAAAGAACTAAAAATAAAAAAGAACTGTCTACCAAAACCATTCTGTGACTTAGTACAAGAAACTAATCTAGATGATATATGGCAGAAAAGACACCCAAATGAAAAAAGGTATGCATTCTATTCCAACCCCCACCAATTGTGGTCCTGAATTGATATGGTGTGGACAAATAAGACAATTGGAAATGAAATATCCAAAGTAGAAATAATGCCCAATATATATGGGCAGACCACAATTCGTTAAAAATTACCTGGAAAGGACAAAGGAAACAGAAAATGAGATGGACGCTAAACACATAAGTCCTAAAAGAAAAAGATTTTATACAAAAAATGAAAAATGAATTGGAAATATTTTTCAATATAAATTTAAAGGACCATACTAATTTGCAGAATTTATGGGATACAGCAAACACTTTTATGAGAGGAGTATCAATAGCTTATGCAATTAGAAAAAACGAGATGGAAAAGAAACAACAAAATGAACTAAGATAAAAATTAAAGAACTAGAAAGAGACTTCAAAAGGATCCAAAGAATGAGACAAAAAAGAAAGAATGAAGACTAGACATAAATTAAACTTAACATTCCTAGAAGAACGAGCACAAAACCTAAAATCTATGAAACAAAACTTTTGAATCAGCTAACAAACCAGGTAGATGGCTAGCCCATAAACTAAAAGTAGAAAAAGGAAGAGCTCGAATGTTCTAAGGATGTCTTTTTTGCTTTTATGTACATCAAAACTAAACAGCTGGCCCAAAATAGAAATATCACCATTGTTAGAATAGCGCATATTTCAATGTCACAATGTAGTTCTGCAGATTTAATACTTTCAAAAGCAACATGGTGTAGAAAGTGTTTCCCCCCTTAATGAAGCACATTTGATTTGGTGGTGGGTTTACATGTTTATTTTGGTTTGGTTTGAAAAACAGGCTGATTTTTAAAATAGATTTGTGAATAATCTTTTCCTATAGTAAGGAATCCTAGAATGGGCTACATTTCTCCCTTGCTCAGTAGGCAGAGCCAAGAACGTAACTATTTGAGGAGGGAGTACCCACCACTGAATTCACTAAGAGAAGTCAATAGAATTCCACCTGTGATTTTGATTCTTCTGGAATTTATAGCCATTGCCTACTTCTGGCTGAACAGCTTGCTAAAAATATACAAACAAAATATCTCTTACTTGGAATTCCTCATATCCCAAGTAGATCTAATCATTCTACAGTTGTCCAATTAATATTGTTCCTTTACAAATTCTCCCTTGGTTTTTGACAATAAAAGCAGGGGTGGCTCCGGATTTCTATAAAACATTCCTATAGAATTTAATTTTGGTACAAAAATACAATCAGCGTGGAGAATTATAAAAATCTTCATCATGATAGCGGTTTTTTTGGAAGAGAAAAATGCCTTTTTTTTTCTGAAGGCAGTGGTCATTTACCAAAGAAGGGAATTGTGTTAAAACTTTCAAAACCAAATGCAGATTCCACAGTGGCAACTTGTATATTATAGAGAAACACTTTACAAAAGTTGTAGGATTCCCAACATGCCTGGAATAGTGAAAAGAGTAAAACCTTATCTGTTAAGAATATTGGATCATAGGTTCAATCATAGATCCTTTCAAGACTAAACTAGGAAAATATTTATGTCCGAGACAAAAAAAATTCTTATGAAGAAACTCAGTGCTGCTATACCAACAGCATAAGAGCAAGATTACTGATAAACATACTTTGTGGACTCACAGAAAAATAAAATAGTGGCATTCTAACCAAGGTCACATAATTGCAAAACAGCCAGGTATTGTAATTATGCAGTCCTTGGTTCTCTCTGAGTTTGGTTGTTTGACAGTGTTTTACCGCCCAACTAAGTATCATTATAAATGTGAGTGAGTGGGGCACTCCCTCATTGGGTGCCTATCTTTTGTTGGGAGTACAGAAGAGAACATCACTTGGGTATCCATTTCTTTGGTTTACATGCCTGACTCTTCATTGTCTCTTGATTTTTTGAAATATTTTGAATGTCTTCTGAGAGCTGGACAGGATCTCTCTCATTTGATATCTAATGTATTTTTGTAGTTATGGAATCAATAAAGCTATATTGGTGATAAATGGGATGAAAATATAACAGTGGTGCTTCGTCTTTAGTTCCAAGAAACCAATGTTCTACTTTCTTGTTTGGTCATCTGTATGCTATCCTGCCTTTTAGGTACATTTCCTGCTCCAAAAAGCTGGCCTCTTTAGAGAAGGTGGGAACCACCAAGGTAGTAAGCCCTGGTGGCACAGTGGTTAGAATGCAGTATTGCAGGCTAACTTTGCCTACAGCCCTGAGTTCAATCCTGGCAAGGCTCAAGGTTGACTCAGCCTGCTAAGATTAGTAAAATGAGGACTCAGACTGTTGGGGACAATGTAAAGCATTATGGGGTGGTATAGAAATCTTAAGTGCTACTGCTATTATCAACCTTAGGTAAACCAATCAATGCTGCGATGTTTTGTCCCAGTGTGTAGAGCTGAAGCGGGTTGGATAGGGAGTAAAAGGTTCAGGCTCAATTTTACCAAGACCAAGTTATGGGTATTTTGGTTTTACCCAGTCCTAGATAATTTCTATAGTTAGTCCTGGAAGGACCATTTTCCATTCAGACAAGTGTACAGATGGAATTTTCTTAACAGTTTCTCATTGAAGATCACATAGCAACTATAGCTTGGAAGGTCTTTGCAGAGGTTCTTCCGTACCAGTTACAACTGGTAGTAGGAGTAGGAGACCCTCTAGTCACATATTCTGGTCACCTAATGTAAGCATTTGTAAAGGGCTGTGAGAATAATCTTGGAAGACAAGATGAAGAGCCGCATCATAGATAATGGTCTGATAAATAAACTCTGAATCCAAATGAGGGGTGGGGTTGAAGGAAGTAAAAGGGTCCCTCTCTAGTTAAATAAAGCAGACATGATATTCTTCCGATTAAAATCGGAATTCTGATTTTTTGGGGAATCGCCCCCCCCCCCACCCTTCCCCCCTTCTTCTCCTCCTTCCCCTC